ATAAGTCAGCCTAGAGATGGCAACTGTCTAGGTGGAGGTGTATGTGTGGGGGGAGGTCAGTAGTGAAATGGCAGCTCAAGAGAGCTTTCAGGGCAGGAAATACCAGGAGCAGATTGGAAAAAGACAAGGAGGACTGTGAAGAACTGAAGTTGCTAGAATGCAGTCTCTGGTCACTGTACTCTAAGGTCTCGGTTCTTTAAGCCTGAATGAGACCTGTAACATTAGCTGCTATCATTGGCTGAGGATGTGAGCCTCAGCCTGAGATATAAACTTCAGTGTTCGGCCCAAGAGCCAAACACTTGTCATTGTGGAGGGCTAAGCGTCCTAGTACCCAAGGTGAGAGCAAGCAGGATAATAAAGCTCCATACTGTCTAGAGCCTTAAGTCTGTTTTTTCTAAAGCCCAGATCGAAAAAGGCCCTAGCTGTCAGGGCTTGAAGCTTTAAACTTCTAGGTTTCTAGTTCAGCCCTTATCCCTTGGTTACTCAAAGACTCAGAAATACCAGCACTGAAAAGCTTTTCCTCACCTACCTATGTTTCTTATCCAGGTACAGCAAAAGGGCAATCAACTGATTTTTTGAGAGAGAATAGCACAATTGTGTGAGTAAGAGGTTGGAAAAGAATGATTGATTAGAGGAAACAGTTAATTTAGCTGACTGCTAAATAACTTTCCTTATTTTTCAAAGACTAATTATCCCCCGATGTGTCTATTAAATAACTACAAATAGAATAAGCAATGCTATCTGAGAAACTGTGACCAAAAACAGTCATTAGATAAGCCTTAGTTGTCTCAGCAGCAGGTATGCTTTAATATCCTTGCTGATTTACATGGAGTGCACTCCATGTAAATCCAGTGATGGATTGCAGCTTGGGTTCAGGGTCCATTTCACTTCCCCTCATTGGATATGTCTGAGGCCTGTTCTCAAGAGAACCACATAATGTTTGTACAGCTCAGTTATATGAAAGTAATGCTAAAGGATCTGGTATACAGTTTAGTGAATCAAAGATGAACGTAGGTGATGATGGCTAATAGATGCTTCCGTTTGTATTTCTTTCTTCACCTGTCCCATAAAGCCTCTCACAGCTACCCACACCCCTTGTATTATAAGATGATGAACCTAGCATGGTGACATTTCAAGATGAGCTTATTAACATAGGTTCTAGCAAGGTATTTTGGCTTTGGAGCTCTTATAGTTAATATTCAATACAACACTCAACAGATTGTATTTGTTTTCAATACCTATGGACTTTCTTTCATCTTTGACTTCTTCAATAACAAGAAGAAAGACAAGCCAGTTAAGTCTCCATTTCCAAAGATGTGTTTACAATAGTTCATCCAATATCTTTGCTAAAGTTTTAAGATCAAAACAATTTTTGGCACTAATGATTTCTCACTTTATTTTCATTCTAAGATGATGGAAGTATTGGATTTGTTTAGGGATGTTTCCATTGTATTACGTATTAAGGAAAACCATAGAATTTTTTGAAGTTGGTGAGGAAACCGGCTGTGTACTGTAGCTATAAAAGTGATCCTTGGTTACATATAACAGGCTTTTAATTCTGCCTCCTGACTTTTGGATTTCACTTTTGGTGGTTAGATGGATAGTGGATTTGTTCTGAATGTCTTAGGACATGCTGAATCACACCTGTCATTTACAGCAAAGGGTATTTTATTGTTGGGTATTGAGTAATGCTTGCACATTCTTCATTCTTAGGTGAGTCTCTCATCAGCTGATGGAATTTCATAATTTTATTCATACCATTAATCATTGACCTTAAGTGCCCCTTTGGTACATTTGGGTACTTGCTTTCAAAACAAACATGGGCTGGTGAAGAAATGAAAGGAGAATATGAAGAGAATGCTGGAAGGGATGACACTGATTAAGATGCATTGTACTCATAAACTCACATGTTGAATTAAAACCCCCTTTGTACAACAATTTAAAGATAATAAAAATTATTACAAAATAGAATAAGGTTGCATTGTAATTATCAACTGATATGTGGAACGGAAACTCATTTGTACAGCTAATTAAAATATATATTAAAAATGAAGTAAGAAGGTGTATTATACTCATAAACTGAAATGTTATTTTGAAATCCTTTTATATACTTAAAGATAGTAAATATATAAACTCACATATTTATATATGTACGCATAATATATATATACTTAATGGTGTTTGAGGTATTAATTAGTATTTTATACAAGAAAGTTTTCTTAAGCTCTGATGAGCATTGAGAATTTACAAAAATGTTTGGAATATACTGCTAAATTAAATGAACAAAGCACTTCTCTTAAGAGAATAGATTTTATTTTCTTTCTTCTGAAAATTTGAGTCCAAATTTACATTACATTAACTATCTTTATTAGATTGTCTTGAGTTTCTGAATTAGATTTTTACTTTGAGAGTACTTGTGTCTAGTGATTTAAATATTCCAATAAAATTATTCTATCAGCTGACAGGTTTTTTTTTATTTTTATCATTCTGTAGAAAGTAACCAACCACGTGTACACTTGGATATTATATTTGTACTTGATTGCCCTTTAACAAACACCTTTGGAAAATGTGTTTTATTTATGTCTTGATTAAAATTGTTCTGTTCATGAGCTAGGAAAGTTCATGAGCCCTAGCTAGTGCACTGTGGTAGTAATTAACAGTATAAATTAGTTATACAACACAAAGATGTAAAATCTCATGACAACACAGTTACAAAATATATATTAAAGTAGTAGTGTTTAAATAACTGCTCACCTCTCAAACACCTACTACTAGTATTAATTCTGAATTAAAAATATACTTTTCTTGCCTGATAATTGGATAAGAGATTATTAATTAACTTAGAATTTCAGAGGCCTAAATATTCCTCACATATTTTTGTTTTTTTCTTTCCTTTTTAAATTTATGTTACTCTTTAGTACATTTTAAGTTTATAGATTTTTTTTTAAAAAGTTGACTTAATCTTTGCTTTCACTATTGGTCTTGTAAGTAATGGAATTATAAAACATTTTCTAAGTAATTTGAAGTCTTAGTAGACTTATTAGAGATGGGTGTTTCATAAGGTCAAATATATCAATAGTTGTACAAGGTGAAATTATTTGGAAGGTCATGCCAAAGCAAATAGCAAATATTTTATTTTTACTACCTCCCTTAAAAATATGTATTTCAAAGCCACATTCATTTAACTTTCAGATTACTCTTTATATTTTGGTATGTTAGCCTTTAAACATGTCTTTTAAGCTCTGTTACTGTTTCTGTTTTAAAAAATAAAAACAATTGCACACCTTAAAGCAAAGAAGAAAAGTTTAGGGACTTATTTACTGTAAATTAAAACTAACTGATATTGTAATGTTATGGAGAAAAACTTAGAGAATTTTTATACCTACATTGGGAAAATAAACTTAGTTGAAAGAAAGAAAAATATAAAGAAAACTTCTTTATCTTATTCTCAATTATTTCCTCACAATATTAGTAATATGATTTTACTGAGAATTAAAATAAGAGAGATTGCTTTTTAATGCATGAGATAGAAAAAACAATTATACAGACAGAAATGAATTGTAGCAAAGAATAGCCATAAGTCACCTAATCCATAAATGAAGTAAATTCACAATTATGTATTTCAGTGGTGGTTACTGAAAATTAGTAACAGTATAAGTAAATATGTTTAAGTATGTTTAATTTAAGTATGTTTGCTTTGATATATAAATTTTACCCTCTATCACATATTTTATGAAATATCTTTTAATACTGATTCTGAAAGAAAGTGAATTTAATTCTTGCTAGAAGGAGGTTCTTTGCATGTAGAATTGATGAGGTTTTTAAATGTGTTCTACTAAATATAGACAATTACATATACACAGTCTACTCTGTGTGGTTTTGGAATATATACAGTTGGAAGTTATCAATCTATCTGAAATTCATTCCATCGTAGACTATGTCAGGTGACTCTGCTCAAATCATTTCACCATATGAATGTTACACAAATAACTGAATTTACCTCCTGTTTTTGCCTCTTTGTCCTTCCCATTTGAAATCTTTGCATTACACTCTGCCACCTTAACAAACTGCTTTTCAGTACTGTTTGAAAGATAATTATATTTATTTAGTAATGAAAGAAGGCTATCATTAGGATTTTCATATTTAAGATTATTCTTTTTCAAGCAGAGGCTCTGCAGGAATCTAATAATTATTCATTATATAAACTAGTATTTTTCACTGCCTTAAGTAATGGTTATTACCATTAATGGTTATTATTGATAATACCATCATTTTGTTGCCAAATGTTGTAATGTGTATTTTAAAAACATTTATTGACTTACATAATAGTCACTATTTGGGTTAGATCTTTTTTTTTCCAACCAGGTAAGTGAATAAGACTGAGAAGTCAGAAGTTCCTTTTACCAAATTCATATTGCCAAATAATAAATTTTAATTTAACATCTTCTCATGATGTTTTTGAAATATGTTCGTTTCTTAAAATATCTTACTAAAATGGTGATTTAGCTTTTAATTAATAAATCAAATAGAAGTATAATTTTAGGTAGTTATTCATTAGCATATTTATAAGGATGAAAATCACATTCTCTCTCTCTGTCTCTTTCTTTCTCTCACTCTCTCTACCTTTCATATACATAGTCCTAAAAAGAATAGAGGGAAATGTCATTAAGAAGCAAATAATTACTTTAAAAACCCCAAAGATGCTAGACTGAAATCTTTGATGTTGCTGAAATCCTTCCACATTTTCAGAAATTAGACATGTTACAGAAAATAGGCACTGATGATATAAATTACCATAGGTAGATGATATGCCTATGTATGAAGGGTCCTTTGAGTCCAAACTTAGCATTTGATAGAAGACAAACAGCAATTTCAGTCCATGCAAATAGAAAGCTCCATTCTAGGAATTTTTTAGATATGGAATTGGAAATCTTTTTTAAAAAAATTGTTTAGCATGTATTCACATATTTAAATGACAGCTCCATTCTTTGATATTTCAGGAGTAAGTCTTAGGATGTGATGCTTTCCTGTGAAGCCTTAGATAAAAGGATCTGGGAACCAAAGGACTCTAGGGCATGCCGTGCCAATAGAGCTTCTTGGTGAGTACCCTGCATGTGGATGATACTTTCCAGGTTGTGCTGCCATTGGTAAGTCTTACATGTCATTGAATCTTTATTTGCTTCTTCGGTTTAATTCTGTCCCATACTAAAAGTAAGAAAATTGTGCTAGTTCCTAATACGTTAAGTGGCTCTATTCGGACACAGGGTTTACTGGATGGTTTCTGCTTCTTCCTTGCTATGAGAACAGACTACATATCTCACCATGTATCTGGATGCAGATCTTGGCTTTCATACGTAGTGATTATAACCTGTCTAACCTCAAGTATTTTTGTCCCTAAATTTAGGGCAGTAAAAAGTATCTTCTGCATAGAACTGTTGTGAGAATTTCTTAGAGTAGAATTGCACATTGTAGGGTACTAGGCTTCACTATTATTATTAGATATAGTCTTTGCTATTGTTATTATTAAGTGGTTATACAAACGAGCTATAGTTCCATAAGTCAGGATCTGAGTACAATGCTTCTTCATCAATGGCACCCATTTCTTTGTTCTTCCCCATTTTTCTTCTCTTGTCCCTAACCTCAAGTTACACACTTTGTTTTACACATAATATACATTGAATCTACAACTTCATTTGCTCACCCTTCCTCCCTCCATTCACGGAGAGAGAGATATTCTTCAAGTACTATATTCTATAGACTCATTCTTTTTTTTTTATTTGTTTTTAAATGTTTATTCTCTTTTGTTTAGATGTAGACAGACAAGCATACAAAGCTGTAGAGTGAATACCTTTGAGGCAGACATTTCTTCACATATCTAACGTAACTAAGTCCTTTCAATTGTATAATTTGCTATATCCCTTCATTTTTTAAGCATACTTTCATATAACTCTTTCCTTGTCTGTTTGTTTGGCTACACATACATAAATAAAGCAAGTGTAGCCTATCCTGGAATAATTCATTTCATGAATTCCACTTCTCTTTCCTTTTTAGCACTGTTCTATTGTGAGTCTTTACATTTCTTTCGAAGTCACCAATCATGCCTAAAATATCTTGGTACCAGGCAAAGTAGCACACACTCAGAAAGATTGGGGGGAAAAAAGGCCTTGAATAGGAAATACTTTGCAAATGAGGAAACCTTCATTTGATAGTTGCTTTCAAAGACATTGTGTTAAAAGAGGAGTATCTCCGATGGACAAGTAGAACTTGCTGCTTCTGCTGTATCTGCAGGGGTGTGGGTCTTCTTTAGGCCTGATGGTTACACATATTTGTTCAGCTTTAGAACTTCATCACAAAATATGTGTTCTGTGCCACAATCTAAAAATAAAATCAGCCAATGTGTTATAAATGCTTCTTAACGTCAGTAGATCAACAATGTCTATTCAAGACTTTCCTAGTAGAGTGGGGAAGAACTAGGTATGGGAATTAGCCAGGGTGGTAAGATCTGTTTGCTTTTTTGGGCCCACTCAGAAAAGCCATGATTTCTTCTTCAGTTTGATTGCGCGGTGTTCTTATAGAAGAGGTTGTCTGTGTCTGTCTTATATTTTATTTTATTTTTATTGTCAAGGTGATGATGTATAGAGGGGTTACAGTTGTATACATGAGGTAAAGAGTATGCTTCTTGTTGAACATCATTACCTGCTCCCTTATTTGACCTTCAACATGCCTTGTGTTCACTAATGAGAAGGAAAATAAACAAATCTAAACAAAACAGGTTAAAATGTAGTCACCTGAAATGAAAAAGATGTTCCCTCTTAGATTTGGATATTTAAATCACTATCCTCAAATGTCTATTGTGTACGTGGGTAGGAAAGGGACACCAGTGACACTCGATGGCTTCTAGTTGAATGGAATTTCTGTTTCCTCTAAAATGCATCTGATGTCATTGTGGCACCTGCAGTCAACTCCTTCTTTTTCCATTTTACAGCCTGACCCTTCAACATTTCACTACTTAGGCTTCTCATTTGCCTGGGTACTGCTAATAGTACTGGGTACTTAGTACAGAAAATGAGGAAGGTCCTCTCTCAAGACACTTAGTTATGGATATGTTATGGATCTTCCAGTGGCCAGAGAACCCACACAGGGTATCAGTCATTGTTCAGTTTCTGTCCTAACTTTAATCCAGCAATAAACAAAAGAAAGGAGGGGAGAAATATTATAGTACAAGTGAAGATGCGCAAAGATGAGTTAAATTATTTAAATTTCTTACAACTCTAATACCATTTCATACTTCAATCTTAACTGCAACAAATCTGGCTTGTTAACTAGATATGAATCTACCTTCCACCATGAGAAAGTGTCCTGACATCCTACTGTAATGGCTTTTTGTGGGCTGACTACCCACTCAATGTTGGTTAAATTCGTTAATTAAACCCAAGGGGGGAAAATCAGATTTCATTAGCCTCTTGGACTGAGCTAGTTTATTGCTAGAAGAGATGCCAGCTGAAGAATGTGGCTTGTATATAGAGTCAAATGGGAACTGTAACAAGTTTTTCTGAAAGCTCAGTCTTTCCCATTGTAAAGGTAGAACCTTCCCTGAGAAGACCACAGTGTGATAGTGACAAAACCAGAATTCATCTCTTCTATAGCAAGGCATTCCTGGAAAAAAAGAGCACAGACACGACCCACACCTAACTCACTAGGTTTGGATTTTCAGATGTAGAGTAGGTTGATGTGTTATTTTAACCCATGAGTCTGCTATTTAAACTGATGGAAAGCCACCAGTTAGATGGCAACACGGAGTCACGGGAGATTAGGTCAATTGCTCAAGGCAAGAAATAAGAGTGTAGGTCTGAATGCAAGCCCTCCACACTAGAACAAGTACTTGAAGAATCATCTTTTAGACTAGAGTGAAGAAAGACTGCAAACCAGGAGTTATGCTTCAGTGCACCAGAAAATAGCTAGTTTCCCAGGGGAATAAAGCCAAGGAAACTGAGGCTGGTTATTGGGTCATTGGGTCCCTGTGCAAAAGAGATTCATATCCTCAGTCCCCTGGCAAGGAAGTATCAAGAATATACTGTCTATACAAGGAACACTTCAGAAAGGAATAAAATCGCTGGAGCCATGGGACTGTTTCAAGCTTAGAGCATGGCTAAGATACCTGATAATTGTCTATGCCTTAGGACTTTCTTTGTTGTTATTTCCTAACATCACCATGTGAATGTTTTATACTTGGCAATAACAACAAACTGGGTGTGGAAACTCCCTGGTGAGACTAAGATCTGAAGGTCTATGGTTTCAGGATAACCTGGGCAAAAAAGTTCACAACTTTCTCGACCAATAGCTGGAAACAGGCCTGGTGTGCAGCTATGTGCAAGATTGAGATCTGAAAGATTTTGATTTCAAGCCAGCTTGAGCAAAACAGTCTACAGGACTCCATCTCACTGGTGGAAGTGGTGGCTTGAGCTTGTTTTCCCAGCTCCTGCAGGAAGTATAAAATAGGATCACAATCCTAAAGTTGGACCAGGCATAAAGCAAGACTCTTTGAAAAACAACCTATGGGGGGAAAAAGAGCTGCCAGGGCAAATTAATGATAGAGTGCTTGTGTCATCAAATGAGGGGCCTTGAATTCAGACACCTGTGCTGCCTGAAAAATAAAATAATAACTATCTAAAAAACCTTAACAGGAAAAAGCTTCATTAAAACATCTTATAAATGACTGAGGAATAAAGTTTACTCACGATAAGCCTACTTGGAAAGAAGATGCCAGTAGATTTAAAGTTTTCTTCAACTTTGTTTACTCATGTTGTAATGATTAATGTCTTTGTAGTTTTAAGAACCAGGATAAGTAATGGCTTCTTATTTTATAAATGTCAGTAAAAAGCCAAAGCCATAGCAAATAAAAATACCCATGTAAGTATTGATAATAGTAATAGACTGAAACTACATCTTGGATCATGTTTTATAACATATCATACCAAACTGGTGTGTGTGTATGTGTGTGTGTGTGTGTGTGTGTGTGTGTGTGTGTGTGTGTGTGTGTGTGTGTGTGTGTTTAAGTGAGTGGTGCATGTGGAATATGAGCTGGAAGTTAGATGCTGAGATTATATCTATTGGGGTTCTGCTACGTCGAAGTTACATGCTACCTGTGGGAATGAAGTGAAAGAGATTTGAGTCCTTTTAGAAGGAGAACCTCCATTTTGAATTGCTCACGTTGATTTTAGAAAGCAGGGAGAGAGACATTGTTGCCAACAGACTGGATGTTGAGTCACTGGATGAATCTTGGTGTATTTAGTAGATTACAGTTGAGCTCAATGATGGCAGCTAAATGGAATCACTGCTTCTGAGCTAGAGAAGTAATCCAAGAGCACTCTGTCTGATCATGTTTCTGTTCTATTAATCAAACAGGGCAGGACTATTGACTGGGTAACAGTCAGGGAAGGAAAATTTGCTTTTGTTTGGTTTTGTGTCTTGAGTCTTGTTGTGCAGCCCAGACTGGTCTAGAACTTGAGATTCTCCTACCTTACTCTCCTGAATGTTGGGAATACAGACTTGAACCACCACATCTGGTTTAAAGGGTGTTAAATGTTCCCTATACTCAAATCATCCTTCCAATTATTCTACTCTATTAGTGAGCTATGGTTATTGACTGTTAAATACTTGCATATCTATTTGTCTATTTGTCTGTCTGTCATCTATCTACTTATAAATATATATCAAGTATTGGATACTTGTATATACTTGTACATATATATATGTATGTATGCATATAAGAGTATATATGCATACATATATGTATAGATGTATATATCCCCATTATATTTTCTTGTCCTGTGTTAAAATTTTTAAAGAATTGTTTTATAATACAAATTGGACTAGAGACGTCCCTTAATTTGCATCAAAACTAAGCACAAAAGGATTCCTTTTTATATCCTAACTCTGAGAGGTAAGCAATTCAGAGAATAAACTTAGAGTGTTTTCTCCTGCTGTGAGTTAACACTGAGCTATAATTCTAAAAGTCAGACAATATAATCAGTCACTATTCCTCAACAAGTATTAAGACTATAGTAGTCATTCCAAGAAAATGGGGGGAAATACCACG